ACTACTGCTACTGCTACTGCTACTGCTACTGCTACTGCTACTGCTGCTACTGCTACTGCTACTGCTACTGCTACTGCTACTGCTACTGCTACTGCTACTGCTACTGCTACTGCTACTGCTACTGCTACTGCTACTGCTACTGCTACTGCTACTGCTACTGCTACTGCTACTGCTACTGCTACTACTACTGCTACTGCTACTACTACTACTACTACTACTACTACTACTACTACTACTACTACTACTACTACTACTACTACTACTACTACTACGACCACTACCACTACTACATCACTATAATGTGTACGCTGTTATCCTCTTTCTTCTCCTCCTCCTCCGTCTTGGCTCAAGCAATCGCACGGCTGTCAATTTCGGGGGCTCCGATGCCGGCGCCTAGAGGGGCCATCTCTGCTGCCGGCGCCGCCGTCCCCGTGAACGCGGAGGCCGCGTGCGGCGCAGGGCGCTGGAGCGCCTCGGCGCACTGGCGCCGTCATGCGCGCGCCCGGGGCTGCGCGGCCGCGGCGGGCACGCCGCCCGCAGAGGGCGGCCACTGCTGACGCCAGGGTGCACATCGGTGACGACTGCCAGCCTGCTGGGCCTCCGGCTGTCCCTCGCGCCCGTGCCTCCACGGCGGCGGAGCAGGCCCGCGCGCCCCCTCGGCGCCTGCCCGTCTCGCGCCGGGGACGACGGCGACGGCGGCCTCGAGAGCGTCGACGACGACTGGGCGGTCGGGGCGCGTGCAGCGCAGTTGGTGGAGCGGGAGGCCATGGCGGCAGAGTTGGGTCGGGCATGTCCTCCTACGGGCGGGTATTTGTTTGGCCGAAGAATGAGGAACCATAGTGAACAAAGACCCCCAAAAATCAGAATCGAGAATAGCCCAGAAATCGTCCCGCACTATTCTTTGACTACTCTTTGAATGTATTCCTCCTGTAGAGGGGCACGCCCGACTTCACGGTAGACGCGCCGGAGCTGGCGGCCGCGCCGCCTGCGGAGGTGCCCTTCGCCCTGGGGACTGCTGCTGCTGCTGCCTCGCGGCCGTGGCCGCGCAGTGTTCCTGGCCCTCTCGCGGAGCCCGCCCGCGGGCGAGCCGCTCCGCGAACGCCTCGCCGCGGGCGAGAGGAGCGGGCCCGTGCTGCCCAAGGTGGTCGGTCTCAGCCCGTGCGAGGGTGGCTCGGTCGCGAGGCTCGCGCACTCCGTCGTCTGGAGCTTCGCGTAAGCTGCGCGCTCATGAGGCTGTCGCGGCCCTGGTTGCCCCCTGTTGGAGGAGTCGGATCCATGCGTCGAGTGGCGCTCGTAATTCGGACGCCTCTTCGAGTCCCGTACCTCTCTCCTCCTCCTCCTCTTCCTCCTCCTTCTCCTCCTATGTAGACGTGTGTATATATGTATGTATGTGTGTACTCCCCCTCCTTCTCCTCATCCTCCTCCTCCTCCTCCTCACCCTCCTCTTCTCCTCTCCCCTTATTCCTCCTCTGTCCCCCAGCCAGCATCACAATCCTCCACCGAAATATGCTACTACGCCTCTGTGCGATCTTCCCCTGCCCTGCGTCAAAGCCACCCGCTGGAGGAGTATGCGACCCCTGTTTACTTCGTGCACACCCGTCCGCGGCACACATGCTAAAGCGGGAGATCGCGAGGCAGACCATGTATTTTAATGAGTTTCATGTTCAGCGAGCGTCGTCCAATCAGGTTCGCCTTCCTGCTTCGGCCTCTGGTAGGCCTCACAGCTCACAACGATGACTGCGAGATGGACCTCGAAGGTCCCAAAGGACACTGCAGAGTTCCCCGAGAGAGGACCGAGAGGGCCTCTAGCCCCAAGACGGCCCAAGCACATTCCCAAAACGGCCTCCTCAGTCCTCCAGGCGTTTCCCGGAGAGCCGCAGGGCACCCAAAGAGGTCCACGGCGCGGCCCAAGAACAAGATGTGTAAATGCACTGCTCTCCGTCCCGGCGTCATCCTCCTCATCATCAGCGTCACCACCACCACCATCATCATCAGCAGCAGCATCATCACCATCATCAACATCAGCATTATCACCATCACCATCACCATCACCACCACCATCACCACCACCGTCACCATCGCCATCACCATCATCGTCACCACCATTATCACCATCACCATCACCATCATCATCATCACCACCATCATCATCCTGATCATAATCTTCATCATCTTCCTCGTCCTTCTCACCCTCCTCATCATCAACATCGTGATCATGATAATCGTCATCAGCGTCCCTCTCATCCCTTCCTTATCCTGGTCTTCCTTATCCATGACCTCCCCCTATGTACGTCATACATGTCCTAATCCTTTCCAATTACCTGACAATTACATAGGAGTCAGCAGATGTGATATTTGCAGACGTGTATATATATATATATATGTAATTCCAATACAAAAAATAAGCCGACCGAAATCCGAAAACGGCACTCAGCACCCAACCTCATTCTTACCCCAAGTGTGGTCTTCGAGGTGTATGTCGCTTTCTTGGCTGGCACCTTTGACACATCGTCTTGGTAAGGGGGGGCACTCCACAGACCGTGTACATTCGTTGGGCAAATGACGACGTGCAGCATTCCTGACCTCCCGGCCCGCCCGAGCATCCGCCACCGTGACGAGCAGGCGCTGAGCGGAGTGGCCTCGGGCCCCTTCGAGTCCCCATACATCTCGTTTTTGTTGTAAACAAAAAGCACACTACAACAACAACGACAACAACAACCCCACCACCACCAACAACAACAGCAGCAACAACAGCAACAACAACAACACCACCACCACCAACAACAACAACAACAACAACAACAACAACAGCATCAACACCAACACCAACAACAACAGACAAGAAAGCACTCTGAAGGGCCCAGGTCCCTTCCAGACCTCCCGGAGCCGCTCGCACGACTCCTGGAGCGTCCTGCGGGACTCCCCAGGGCTCCCCGCGCGACTTCATCTGTTGTTTCGGGGGCCGGGGAAGCGCGGGTGGGACCGGTGTACCTCCAGCTGGGCCCGAGATGGTCTGAGGGCACGTCCTGGAGCCCGCCTGGGAGGCTGCCGTCGGGCTGCTACCATGAGGAGATCCTCGCCCCGAGGAGGTGAGAGCCGCTAGCTGGACAGGACAGCAAGACAGAAGAGGCACTTCGCAGCGCAGTGTGGCTCAGATCCAGAGCCGGCCGCTGGCCAAGAGATGGCATCCGCCTCGGTGCTGGGCCGGCTTCCAGAGCTCACGGCCCTTCTGCTCGGCGCGCTCAAGCTCTTGGAAAGGGGCCTTGGGGTAAGACCCACTCGAGATCGTGACACCGCAGTGTTTCTGATGCAAGGGTTTCAGAAGGTGCTGGCGGCTACCGTACGAGCGATTGCACACATGAGGAATGCTACATCAGGAACGAAGACGCTTTTGAGCCCCCAAAGCGCCTGGGTGCACGAGGAGCGCTGGAGGAACAACCATGGAAGGACCCAAGGAACAGAGATCCCCTTCCAAACTCAACCTGTTCCTTACTTCAACGTATCGACTGTCTTCGGCCGTGTTGGAAGATCCACGGGCTGGCCCAAAAAAGCACAAGTCAGTGACAAACCGTAAGTCGTTCATGAGGTGTTGGCATGCTCGGCTTTCCGATTTGAGGAACCCCAAGGGTCCGAGGCTCCAAAGAGGGCCCAAGAGGCTCCCGAGACGGCCCAAGAGGGGCCAAAAGGAACCTCGAACCGACATTCCGAGCCCTTTCCGTGAGATGGCCCCCGAGACCGACAAGAGGCCCCCAAGAAGCCTCCAGAGGCTTCCAAGATTCCACCACGAGGCCCCAAGAGACCTCCACGAGGCCCCACAGACGGCCCCAAGAGATGCCCACGAGGCCTCCATGAGGCTCTGAGGAGGACTCCCCGGAGGCCTCGAGAGGCCTCTTGTCCACGACCCGGGCACCGTGGCAGGATGGGCCGAAGTCCACTAGATCCGCCGTCCGCGTTGGCTTGCCACAGGGGTGCCCGGCGTGCTGAGGTTCAGATGGTTGTTTGGTTCTTTGTAGGTCTACCCCTGGGGCTTCAGTCCATTGCTCCGAGGTGCGCCTTTCGTCCACTGTTTCGCTTAAGAGGGCCTCACGATAACCTCCAAGACGCCCACGATGCACCCAAGAGGGCCAAGATGACCCCAAGAGAGCCCAAGATAGCCCCAAGAAGGCCTCCAAAACGGTCCCAAGGTGCCTCCGATACCGCCAAGAAGGTCCTGAATAGCCTAAGACGGCCCCAAAGCGCCCAATAGGCCCCGAAGATGGCCCAAGAGGCCTCTCAGAGGTTCCCTAGGAAGGCCCGAAGAGGCCAACATCAAAGATTTCCCTTTGGTGTTTGAGGATTTTGGCGTTTGCTTCTGTTCGGTCTACCAACGGCCCACGGCGGCACCAGAGGCCCCTAAGATCGCCCCAAAGGCCTCCAAAGTGACCCCATGACGGCCCAAGAAGCCTCCAAGACGGCCCCAAGAGGGCCCAAGACGGCCCAAGAGACCCCCAAGACGCCCACGATGGCCTCCAAGACGGCCCTGAAGCGCCCCAAGAGGGCCCCAAATTGGTTCAGAGAGGCATACAAGATGGCTTCCGACGGCGTCAGACGGGCCAGGACCGCCGTAAGACAGCCAAAGAGTCCCCCCAAGAAGCCCCAAAGGGCCCCCAAGAGGCCAAAGGAGGCCCCCAAGAGACCTCCAACCAAAAAGCTCCCAGGAGGCCACCATGAGGCCCCAAGAGTGGCCCCAGAGGCTCCAAAAGAGGCCTCATCCTCCTTCTCCCCTTTTTTCTCCTGTTTCCTACATTTCCTCCTCGTCCTCCTCTTCCTCCCCCACGTGTTCCCCAAAGAACTTCCACAACGGCTGGGGGAACGCGTGGTCCAATAGCGTCGCCAAACTTTGCCCAAACGTTGGGCCCCTTCGGCGAATAAAGGCAGGGGGCGGCGGTGATTCGCCGCAGGCGTCTGCTATAGATGCTGCAGCGGAGCAAGGCAAGTACCGTTGATGCTGGGGCCCCGACGAGTCGTCGATCTGCTCGGCGCGGGTCCTGGAGGGCGGCCGCTCCAGACTCACAACCATGGAGCTCAGGCGCTGGGCGGGCGTGGGGCTGGTGGGCGCGACGGGCACGCTGAAGCTGTAGACCGACGGCGTGGACGGGCTCGGCCGCTGGCTCGGGCTCGCCGAGGCAGAAGGCTGCTGCCCGTTGCTGGTCGGCGTCTGGTCGGTGGTGGACTGGCGGCGGGGCGCTCCGCTTGAAAAACCGAGCGCGAGGGGGCCCGCTCGTCGTCCAGCCGACCCACACCGTGCACGCACTTGCGACGGCGCGCGATCGGTCGAAGCCCACCAAGAGCATACGCGAGCGCACGCGCGCGTAGGAGCGCCACGAGCGCGCATGCCGCACTCGCGAGCGAGCGCGCACTCGCTCGCGCGCAGGAGTGAGAGCTCCGAGGTGGGCCTGCCTGCGTGGCCCAGAGCAGCGAGCTTCAACGGCTGGGCATGCTGCGCAACACACAAACAGCGCTCATGAACATTCAGAATCAACTCGTGAAGCTCATACATTTAAACCAGCCGGAAGCACGTCCCGCCCCCCGTGAACCGACCCTCACGAGCACACTCCGAACTGCCCACTACAAATCGCCGTCCACAAACACAACACGCCGCCCCCTCCGCAAGCCCCATAAATCACAAGAACGCACCTCCTCCGGAGATCAATGTGCCAGGAGTATCAGATGGCCAGGCTTGGGGTGAAACTCTGCAAGGACCGCAGCGTGCTAGGGAAATGCTGGAGACGTGTCCACCGGCATTGCTTGTTCGTATAAGGGAACACATACATCTCTGCATTACAAACCGCGCCTTGGTCACATGTATGCTGCGTTGCGCACGGAAGAACAAACAACTCGATCAACTGATACACCGTGTCCCTCGAAAGCTGCGCCCTGCCAAGCACAACCGCGAACCTGCCATGCCCAGAAGGCGACGAAACCATTAAGTCAGCCGACTCGTGTCATGATTCCCCCCTCGAACCAAGACCCCCGACGTTGTGATCTCGCACCACATGGAACCTCGGAGGTCTCGACTTACTCTGTTGGGCCGCTTTGGACCCTGGTCCGCTTCGACGGTCCTGGGGCCCCCGGTGAGGGCCCTGGGAGGCCGAGCACTACGGAGAACCTGCATCGTGATATCTTCAAGACGCCAGGGGCCTGGGCCCCGTCCACTGCCGAGCCCCAGACACATGAACTCCCGCGCGCCCAGTGCTGTCGAGAAAAAGCGTGCTCGAGCAACGTGCCTAGCCCCCAGCACTTGCGCACAAACGATGCGGCGCTGTCAGATCGGTCCCGCGTTTCAGCCTGCACGGAACCTTTCGAGGTCCACACCAGCTTCTGTTCCACAGGGGGCAGGCCTCCTGACCAAGATAGCAATACAACCACCCTGGTCCCCTCCTCCTCCTCCTCCTCCTCCTCCTCCTCCTCCTCCTCCTCCTCCTCCTCATGTTGTCCTCATCCCCCTTTTTTGACGTTGCGCTAACTCGCGATCGGAGCCTGAAGCGCTTGAAAGCAAACAGAAGGTCGCCAACTCAGGCGGAGTGGAAACAACTGATAACTGGCTGGCGCTGCCGAACAGGACAGGCAGTGAGACCAGGTAAAGAAGACGGCCCTCAGGGGCACAGAGTATGCGCCAGCCAGGCGGTGTGAGAGGAGGGACCGATCGAAACATAGTAGCCTTAAACCATTATCATCTCCCTCCTCCTCCTCCTCCTCCTCCTCCAGCCTTTCCCGCGGCAATGCGAATTCACGACAAGGCCCCTGCGACTTCACATGGGCCAGAGTGCCGCAGAGAGAGAAGTGCCAGGCACAGTGGCGAGGACGACCTGCCCAGCCACGCGCTGCTGGGCCAGGGAGGACACGACTGCAGCGCCCCGCATGGAGAGACAGTCCCGCTGGTCACCCATTCTCGCCTGTGACGTTCGAGGATATACTCCGGAGGTATCCCTATTCGCTGTCATCCCGCTCCTCGTCGTTACCCCCCCTCCTCCCTCCTCCCACCCCCCCACTCCGCCTCCTGCCTTTTCTTCAGACTCTGATCCCCCTGACGCTTCCTAGTAGAACCTCCAGGAGCCACCAGGAGCACACCCAAGTCCCACAGAACGCCTGCAGCCCAGCGCAGCGGCCCAGGTGCACTCCCCCCATCCTTTCTCCTCAGTTCCATATTCTACGTATGCCTCTCCACCTCTCCCTCCCTCTCCTCACTTCCCCTCTCCATCGATCCCCCTCTCCCCCCTCCCTTCCTCCCTCCCTCTCTCCCTCTCTCCCTCTCCCTCGTCTCGAGCACCTGCGGCTCGAGTCCCATCCGTAGCATTTGGCTTCGCGATGGGCCCCAGGTCGCGCCGAGTGCCTTCACGTGGCGCTTAGGGGGGGCTCCGATTCCTGCCGCGGCCTTCTCGGCCTTAGCAACAGCTGTCGGCTAAGCTGGCCTGCCGTCGGCCTTGCCTGGACGATCTCGTTAAGCATGGCTTTCAAGTTGCTCGCTTTGCTATGGAGTCGTTCTCACTGCGTTCGCAGGATAGACATAGGGTTAGGTCGGGCGTGTCCTCCCTACAGGCGATTTTTTTGGGCGAAACATGAAACATGCCCAAACAATACCCGAACATAGTCACAACACATCATAAGAAAATCGTCCCCATATTATGTTTTGACTATTTTCGGATATTCCTCCTGTAGGGGGACAGGCCCGACTTAAACATCGGGTCTGAAAATAATGACTGCAATTCAACGCCTCATTCAATACCAATTCAATGTTACCATGTTGATCCACCTGGTGGTAATCGTGCTTCCGGGTCGGAGCCACCCGCGGTCAGTGGTTGTCCTCGCCTTTATCCTGCTGCTCGGGGTGGCTGGTATTTGTCTATCTGTCAACTTGTTGCTCACGGGCGGAGGTAGATCTCTGTTGTTTCACGCTCCAGAGACTTAGCCCAGGTGCGGAAAAAGGCGCCTAGGAACATCAAGTACGTCCAAAACTGTGAAGGTGTTTGTTCGAAGCCTTTGTCAGTGCTGTTTCCAAATGGTGGGCCGTGACGTCGCACATGGTCTGCTCCTGCTTATGGCTTCCAGGTGTACGGCGCGTTGCTTACAATATTTCCTGGTCGGGCCGTGATATTTCACATACGCTCTGTTCTGGGAGGTTGGATGTGTCGGCCGCTTTGTCGTGGAGTACGTATTCCGATGCGTGCGCGTCTTCATCCACGTCGTCTTGTTGCTCTGGAGACTTATCCCACGTGCGGAAATGCGCCGAGGAACATTAGGTACGTCCAATAAGGTGAAGGGCTTGTCCTGAGTCTTACGTCGATGCTGCTTCCAGGTAGTGAGCCGTGGCTTTTGACAACGTCTGTTGCTCGGCGGTGGCTTCCAGATGCGCGTAGTCCAGATCGTTTTTTTTTGCAGCGCAAGCAAAACTGTACATAGTTTTGACTCCACGCGCTGGCGAAGATCTAGAGGCTGAGATGTAATCTGGGTTGGCCCCGATATTTCACGCTCGCTCAATTCTGGGAAAAGTCTTGCCAATGTCGTGGAGTTCGTCTCCCGGTGCGCGCGCGTTTTCATCTGTGTCGTCCAGCTCCTCCACGAACTCAGGGCAGGTGTGTTGCAGCATCATGCTTAAAAAGTTGTATTGTTCTGACTTCTGTATCATATGACATTGTCATGGCGGTTCCTCCTCCTCCTCCTCATTTAAACATTGTACAACATGAAACCCAAACAAAAAAACACCAAAACGACAACAAACGCCGAGCACGTCAAGACTCTTGCCGAGAGCCTCCTCCTCCTCCTCCTCCTCCTCCTCCTCCTCCTCCTCCTCCTCCTCAAGGCCGGCTCGCAGGATGCCTGGCTGTCGCCGCGGAGGAAGGTGGGCGTGTGGAAGCGGTCCCGCCACGGTTCCTGCAAGGGGCGCCCGAGGGACGAGTGGCAGCTGGAGCAGGAGGGAGGCGATCTCTGGCTACATGCAACTGACCTGGCAGGCGTAAAAGCGAGGGGGCCGAACGGTGATTCACTGCCCCTAGGTGCGTGGCAGAACTGGGGTCCCGCCGTGCGAATGTGTTGCTGTTGCGTTGAATCCTCCGTTCTAGGACAAAAGAACTATTGTTGATCCCCCGGGGTGCACCTGGCGTTTTCAAGTAAAGTGCTTCGCCTGGTGCTCACACCCTGTGAATCCACCAGGGAGAACATTGCGGGTGAGATTTGGCCCTTAACCCTCGAACTACAGCAACAACAACAACGACAACGACAACAACAGGAACATCCATCAAATTACCCTCATGCGCCATGTTTGCACATTCATTCCACATGCATACATCATGATCATTACTCCCACACTGGGGATTATGTTCTTGGCACATGGGGCGCAATATACCCACACCCAGAACTCCCGCCCAAGGAGGTCTCGCGAACACCTCTTCCGAGGAATTTCAAAATACCTGCTCGGAAAGCACCTTGCATTAGAAATTCCTTTGCCCGCGCCCTGATGCGAGGAGGAGAAGAGGGGGAGGAGGAGGAGGAGGAGGAGGAGGAGGAGGAGGAGGAGGAGGAGGAGGAGGAGGAAAAAGAGAGAAGAAGGAGACACTGCTCCTTCCCCGGCGCCTCGGGTAAACCTACGGGCGCATAAAAAAAACTCAAAGAGGCCGCTTCGCCGTCGTCGTCGTCGCCGTCGTCGCCGCCGTCGTCGTCGTCGTGGTCGTGGTCGTCGTCGTGGTCGTCGTCGCCGTCGTCGTCGCCGCCACCGTCGTCGTCGTCGTCGTCGTCGTCGTCGTCGTCGTCGTGGTCGTCGTCGTCGTCATCGTCGCTCCCACGGCTTACACGATGTCCACGCGTCCTTACGCAAGCAGCTACGCAGGGAAGCGGAACCCACGCAGATTGTCATAGCGGCGTTCCCCACGCCCAGTCAGCCTGACGATGAACCCTCCTTGATCATCCCGCCAGGTCCTCCATGGTCCACGCAAGGCCCGAAGCTTGGCAGAAAGACGACGGAGAAGGAAAAGGCAGGGAGGACGAGGCTCTCGAGCAGGAGGAAGAGGAGGACGAGAGACGAAGAGAGAGGATGAGGAAGAGGAGAGGCCAAGAGGACCACCCATCCCGTTGAGAAGGGCCGCAGCTTATTTCGCTCTTTTGGAACGTTCCCAAGGCCCTCTGAGGCGGGCCTGAAAAGAAGAGGAGGACGTATCAAACGGGAGCGTTGTTGTTGCTGTTGGTGGTGGTGTTGTTGTTGGTGGTGTTGTGTTGTTGTTGTTGCTGTTGCTGCTGCTGCTGTTGTTGTTGTTGTTGTTTTTCGGGGGCCGGTATGGCGGGACCCCGAAACGCCTGAGCGTGAGTTTCGACTTCGCAAGAAATGCAGCCGGCGCCCAGGCGAGAGCCCCAGGGCGTATTCAGGGGGTCCAACAATACTAAATGTTTAATACTTGAGCTTTCACAGTGACTCTGGACCCCCCCCCAGAGGCGATTCCAACACGAGAGCCGCAGCCTTGAGTAAAATGCTAGGAAGTACCGGGCGGGAGCGCCGTTGTTGCAATGTTGGGCCGTTTGCGGCTCCGAGGCGAGAGCGCCGATCCTGCGTAAAAAAACAAAGAAATATCGAGCTGGGGCGCCGGATTGGTGCGAACGCCGACTTTCAGCGCCGATGCGAGAGCGCCGATCCTGCGTAGAAAAGGGGAGGAAGTATCGAGCTGGAGCGCTTGTTTGGTGGGAAAGCTGGCTTTCGGCGGCGAGCAAGAGCACTGGGCCTGAATGGAAAAGGAGGAAGTATCGAGCTGGAGCGTCGTTGTTGTTGTTTTTTTGTCATGGGGCGCACATGTGACGTAGTGCACAGCGCTCCACAACCGACTATACCAGAAGGATCGCCATTTCCTCTCTCAAAAATCAGACGCGTCAGCCGCAGAGTTGTAACGCCACAGCTGCACTGCCAGGAGCGCCTCGCTCGATCACCTCCGAGGTACGCTGCCGAACTCACAGCCTCTGCTTGCCGATCACGGCGTCCCTCTCCTGCAGCGTCTTCTCCGACTGGAGGTATATTATGATGAGGATGCTGATCGGAACGATCACGAGGACCAAGTTGGCTGCCCAAGCCGGCTGCTGGATCTGCAGCGCGGTCACGATCGACGAGGCATCCGCCATGGACTCCACGGGCAGAGCCGCCCTGGCCGACGGGCCCTGCCGCAGAGCGGCGGCCTGCGGCGCGCGCCCGCCGCCGCAGAACGCCCCCGCGCCGCAGAGCGCCGCCGCGGCGGCGGCGCCGAGCAGGACGACCGCGAGCAGCGGGGCGCGGCGGGCGGGCATCGCGGCGTGGGACCGACGACCGACGAGGGACCGATCGTGCAGGAGAGGCGCAGACGAAAAAACTCGAGCCGGCGTGCCTTGAGCCAAAATGGCTTGAGCCAAAATGGCTACGGCTGGAGCGTCGTTGTTGTTGGATGGCCGGTCTGGCGAAACCCCGAAACGCCTGAGCGTGAGCCTCGATTTCAAAGGAAATGCAGCGGGCGCCTAGGCGAGAGCGCCAGGGCGGATCTACGGGGTCCAACAATAATAACTGCTGAATGATGAAAGTTCAACGGCTCCCGTCTTCTACTTCCGCACAACGTATTTCAAAATCGCGCTCTCGCGTGGAACCTCATCATCATTTATGCAAAATTCGCGCTCTTGCGTGGCGCTCTCTCGCACTGCATTCAAACGCCGCGCCCTCGACCCTCAGGAATCACGCTCTCGCTCTTGCCTTCTCTCACGATTATCTTGGGAGTCGGGCTATCGCTCGAGACCTCCTCGCGATTCATGCAAGACTCACACTTCAGCAGCCCGCCTGCTCGACGTGGCCGCCTGGGTCCGCCTTTCTGACCCGCCCGTTAGGGTCTACCCGTTTGGGTCTACCCGCCCTTTCGGGTCTACCGTCTGGTTCTGCCACGTGCTTTCTGTTCCTAGCTCCCGTCCTGCTCATATCTCTCGCGCTCCATAATTATCCTTCCCCTGTTTCAGGGGCTGCACCAAATACACGTGGCAGATAGGAAAGATACACCCCCAAAGGGGCACGATTGAAGAAGAAAAGGGCGGGTACCGAGGGTTTGGGGTATACGTTTTGATTGGCACGCGAGCAGATAAGAGCGAACACTCTCAAACTAATTGTTGCTGTTGTTCCTGATCGCTTGGGCCCGCCTTCCTGACCCGCCTGTTAGGGTCTGCCCGCGCGATCAGCCCTTCTGGTTCTGCCACGAGTTCTCTGCTCCTAGTCCCTCTCATGCTAACCTCGCTCGTGCTCCATCCTTCTCCCTCCCCTTTCCGTCCGTCCTTTTTTCCCATGTTTCAACGGCTGCGCCAAATGCACGTGGCAGAAAAGGACGGCACACACCCAAAGAGGCACGATCGAACACGAAACGGGCGGGCACCGAGGATCTTGGATACCCGTGCTGAAGAGCACACGAAGAGGCAAGAGCCAAGAGTCTCCACCCGCTCGCGACCCCCCCACGACCCCCCATCGCGACCCACCCGCGCCCCACGCCGCGCCTGCCCCCGGCACTTTCATCCGCAACGGCGGGGTGGCTACGACACCACCCAGGCCACGTCACGCCGTCCAAGCCGGTAGAAGACATGTGAACCCCGGCTATGCGCAAGAGTGGCCCCGGGTAAGAAGTGACCTTTGGTGCGCAACTTTTGGGGTCGCCGCGGGGGGACCAAACCTGGGCGCGCAAGCAGCTGCTGCTGCGTCGTTTTCAGCCATCTGGGGACCCATCGGTGCCCGCACCAAAGGTCACTCCGGCGAAAGGTCACTCTCACGTCTAGTCGATAACCTCGTAGGTCCGCTCGAATTTCCTTGTCGCGTCGCCGGACCCCCCTGGCGGCGCCTCTGGCGCCACCACCGTCGCGCTCAGCGCGCCAGGGAGGACCACGATAGCAGTGCGTTCCCCTCGACAGTCGCGGGACCACCACGGGACAACCCACGGGACAACCCACGGGACAACCACGGGACAACCGCGGGACAGCGCACAGAACGACCGAGGGACAACCCACGGGGCATCCACGGGACAACCTGTGGGATAAGACCGCGGGCCACAGGAGACAGACTTCCGGGTCGGGTCACTTCGCCCTCACGCTCCAGCCGCCAGCGTACGCATTCTCACCTGACAACTGGCAACGTACTCCTCCGCCTCCCCCTCCTCATTATCCTCTTCAGTCCCCGCCTCCTCTCCCTCCTCCTCCTCCGCCTCCTCTTCTTCTTCTTCTTATTATTATTATTATTCTTATTTTTCTTCTTCTTCTTCGTCTTCTTCTTCTTCTTATTCTTCTTTTTCCTCCTCCTTTTCCTCCTCCTCCGCCTCCTCCTCTTTCCTCCTCCATTATAAGGAATAACGCCTCCCTGACGCACCCCGAGGCCGGTCGAAAAGGCGGACCGGGCGTTTCGCCTGAGACCGCATCATTTATGATCCTGAAGCACAGAATTTGCAACAGACAGCTTCACAGATGGAGGGCGGATGGTTTTCAAGATGTGGCCCTCGCCTTCAGGCCGAGCACATTCGTTTTGAAAGCTTGCACGAGGGTCACGAATGGAGGGCGGGTCGTTTACAAAATGCGGCTCTCGCCTTGGCGCCGAGCACATTCGTCTTCAAAAACTGCAGAGGCCTCAGAAATGGAGGGCGGACCGTTTTCAAAATGTGGCTCTCGCCTCGACGCCACGCACATTCGTTGCACGAGCTTCTCGGATCTAGGGGCGGCTCCTTCTCAAAATGCGGCTCTCGCCTTAGCGCCGTTGCACACTCGTCTGAAGAATTTGCAGCAATCTGACGGATTCTCACGGCCAGCGTCGCACACATTGTTTTGGCACGGTGTCGGCACGTCACGACGGCGCAACGGTCACGCTGATTCGCATTGTTGACGTCCCGGGAGCGGCGTCCGGGCACGACTTAGGATCGTCAGGGCGCAGCAGTAACGGTGACTCGTGGCGTTGGAGTCCCACGAATGGCGTTCTGGCGCAGTTCCGCGTTGTCAAACGATTGCCCTCCGACGGGGCACTCCCCTCCGTGAAAAAAAACTGAACCCCTTGCAGGGGCCCGCGCAAAGAGGAACTTGGAGAGGGGGCTGATTGCAATTCCGTTGATGAGCTGTTCGGTCTGCACGAGTCCTGCTTTAAAACAGGGCTAGGATCGGGATAAATCGCTCCAGAGCGTTCCGGAGCGCTCTCAGAGCGTTCCGGAACGCTCTGGAGCGGCCGCGGCGCCCAATACATCCTCCAAACCCGCCGATTCTCAGAGATTTCGAGTTATCCCGATCCGATGTTGCCCCGATCTTCGCGTCGTTTTATGCTCCTCCTCTGCCTCCTTCTCCTTCCGCTCGGCTTGCCGAGACCCGCGCTGTCGGGGCCGCGCGCCCGGCCAGGCCGCCGTGCGCGGGCACCTAGCGCCTGGGCCTGGCCTGCGCACCCTCCTCCTCCTCCTCCTTCTCCTCCTCCTCCGTTTCCTCCTCCTCCTCCTTCTCCTCCTCCTCCCGCTCTCCCTCGCATTCTTGACCATACTCCTCCACCCTCTCCCCCTCCACCCTACCACGCACACCCCCGCATCTTTCACTTCCTCACACTCCTGCTCGTCTGCGGCTTTCCCTGCTCCTCCTGCCTCTTCCAGCTCCTCGTCCTGTGTTTCGTTTTAAGGCGCAGATGTGTACACAGCATGGTCTCCCCCGCCTCCTCGAAGCCACTAGCGTTCAGACTTGTCGTGGGGCCATCACACCAGGGAAGAAGGAGAAGAAACGTCGGGAGGACGGGCAGGAAGAGAGACGGAACCCCCAGGCGGCCCACGAAGCTGGCCGCTAATGACCGCCGACAAGTGGCGCAACAAAGGTCGCTGCACGGGTTGGTGAGCAGCACGCAAATCGTAAATCGAGGGGGGCGAAGGGATAAGACAGCATGGCACAGGGTAGAGAATCAGCTCGCGCAGCTGGTTCTCCTGGCGCCCCCTGGCGCCGGGAGGCGCCCATGCATCGAGGAATGGGCCCAGCGGCGGGGCGGAAACCAGCTGCTCTAAACATCCAACGTCTGATGTTTTTCGAGACACGGCCTTCCCCGACCTCTGGACCACTTCCCCAGGACTGGTTCCTCCCATTCCGAACATTGTTCTGCTGTCCCCAGGCCCAGCGAAGGCCCCGGGATGCCGAGAAAGCGACTGAAAAACACGTCTGGGTATGTCGTAACCCCGACAAGAACACACACACACAAAGATCAAGAAACGACGAAACATCACGAACAAAACACTGAAAAATATATGATGATGATAATAATACTAATAATAATAATAATAATAATAATAATAATAATAGTAATAATAGTAATAATATCAGCGTTACTACTAATACTAATAATAAGAATACGAATCGTAATAATAGGAGTCGTGATGCTAATAATGGTAATAATGAGAATGGCAAGAATAATTATCACAATAATAATAATTATGATGATGATAATGGTAATGATAATAATGATAATGATCCTAATAACAATATAACAAAAAACAAAAAACTGAGGAACCACAATCAACACCCCCCCCCAAAAAAAAAAACGGCACCGTATCCTGCCCTCTGCGTGCGACCCGAGAGTATCACAGGAGAGCGGGGGGTAGGGCTCAGAGCCCGAGGCGGAAAAGGGGAGGAGAGAAGCGGGGCGTCGAGGGCGCAGGAGGCCGACTCCTGCCAGAGGCGGCACTGGACAGGGCCGAGGAAGCAGCGAGGGAGGAGCAGATCAACGAAGAAGAGATGAAGAGGGGGAGGAGAGCGTAAGAAATCAGAGGCGGGGTAGGACCAGGGGAGGAGTGGAAGGAGGAAGAGCGAAGAGAGAACAGGAGGAGGAGGAGGAGGAGGAGGAGGACGACAAGGAAGAGCACAAAGGGGGGAAGAATGCGCGCCGGAGGGGACGGATGAAGACGGCGAGGGGAGGAGGAGGGAGGCAGGAGGGAGGAGGGAGGAGAGGGTTGGGAACAAAAAACGAGAGAAAGGGGAGGCGCCATGGGAGGAAGATGGGCGAGGAGGATAGCCGAGGCAGACCGGGCACGGGCACCGGCCCGATCGAGCGACGGAGCGGCTCGAGACAAGGCGCAGAGGAGCGAAGCCTGCTGCGGCAGCGAGGGCACGAGAGCAGCGTGGCAGCGACAGCACGTGAGGGCCACGCCGGAGCAGCAGGAAGGCAAGCGATACCGGGGTGGCGAATGCAGACGAAACCCGCGTGAGAAGGACGCAAGACAAGGCTGCAAGGGCCTTGGAAGGCCACGTCGACACATGGCGAGCGGGGCGCGGCCAGCGAAAGCGGCCGAGGCTGGGCCGAAGGGGAAGGATGCAAGGGTAGCCTGGGAAAGTCGCTCATCCTTACTGTGCGGGTTGACTGCACGAGGAGTACCCAAAACGATATGGCGGGTGCGGTGACCGATCGAAGC